AGATGCAAGGCCCCATTCAAGCGATCGCTGCTCCCCGAATTCAGGAAGTCAGATGCAGTGAGGCCGGTTGCTGATGGGTTCGGTCGTCACCAGCGCCAGGTCTTGCCTTTGTCGCACCCTCCATGACTCATCAGATGACGCGCCGTGCGAAGCCAAGCCCCTTGGATTGATCGAGTGGCACACGTGGTGACGCGACTTTTGATGAATCTATTATTTGGAAAACAGTAGAACCACCGGTACTTGAGATGTTGAGAGGAACGCCAACTAGAAGTCATTCTGAAGTATGTGATTTAATTGTTGTGGAACTTGCATGAACTTGCTATAATACATAGTTCATTTGCCAGAGTCCTTCCAACATGTACCCAGTACCCTGACATTCTTATTCTCTGGAGTTCCCAATCCTGAACGAATCTGAAAGACATCCAGTTGGCGAAGTCAATTTGAGCAGATGCTTCAGTGCAAGACCTCGAACCTGTCAAATTGGTGGAGAGTGCCTCCCCAAAACCTTTTCCCAGTCTATACCAGAATATCATATATGGGATGACTGGACATCCATCCATCCATCCATCCATCCATCCATCCCCAGGGTTCAAGACCACTGAGGCATCACACAACGCTCTGCTGAGAATGAGTCAAAGACACTATCGTCTGCAGCCGTGATGGGTCGCTTGGCTGGACATGTTTGGACCAGTTCGAACCTCGAGGCCTCGGAGGCCTTTTTTCTCTGCTGCCTAATGGAGGAAGTCGGGGTGCCCTTGCGTCACATCCACTCACTGGATGGAACTAAAAAGCACCCAGAATGTGACTCTTGGAAGTTTTTTCTAACTAACAGTTCAACAGTCTTCCTAAGACTGAGCGAACATCACCTCACATCATCCGAGGCATCACATCAAGAATCACTGATCCTTTTCTTAGAGCTTCGTAGATTCTTGTTACGTTCGTGGCTTCCTGCTACTAGTACTAGTAGTAAGGTGCCTTGCTACGTTCGTGGCTTCTTGTTACGTTCGATTCCATGCCAGGAGCTACTATATAATAGCTTCTTACGCATATAAGGGCTAAACGCTTGCCTGTGGGATTTCGCACGGATTCAGCAGGAAGTTTTGTTTGGGGACCGTAGCTTTCGTTTTGCTCTGCAAGCGACCGGTCAAGTGGCCTGGGGGGTGACGGATCAATCAGATCCGTCTATGAAGTTCAGATCCATCGCAGTTGTTAAATCTTAAGGTGATGGCATGGCAATATATACATTATACATTTACATGCTTCTGCATGCATCCAAGAAACCTCAGACCAATCGGTTTGAGCGCCGAATGACTTCCAAGTCGCCTCCAGGCGGCTCTTTGCTGGGCTTGACAGCAAGCATGGCGCGTAGCTCCAAGCGCTCCAAGCGCTCTAGCCTCCAGGTGGCCACTGCAGATGTGCAGGCCGGATCGTGGAAGGTCTTTCAGGCGGTACAAGGACCTCTGGACCAGGGCTATTTTATAGCTATCTTTGCTGGTGAGAGTACACCCGGCAGAGGTGGGTCAGAGCCCGACTGTTCGACTATCCAAGTTAGGTACCCCAGGTGACGGGTCCTAGTTCAGGTCACCTGACCTCTTTTGGACTCCAGGCCGTAGTGACAGCCAGACGTCCTTGATAGCTCCCTTGGAGCTCCGTAACTTAGAGCTCCGTGCCAGACCTTGAATGCGCCGGACGGAGAGGATGAGATGATGGCCCAGGAAATCGCGGGTCACTGGGCGTTGACGGAGCATGGGCAGTTCTTTTGGTTAACTATATATTTATAAAATGTTAGTTATAAGAGGGAATCCATTGCAACAAAAATGCAAAACACATGCTAGTTTTTTGTTTTTTTTTAATGTTTGAGGGGATGAACTGTTTGCTGCTCATGACTGTTTTGCAACCATGCATAGCCTTTGTTCTGCCTGTAAATATCGCTTTGGGTCCTGACACGGACGATTGCGCGTTTAAACCGGAATTTAATGATTTGTTTTGACATGTTTTGACATATTGCCAAAAGATTCAGCCTTCTTTCCAAGCCGGTGCTTACTTACGCCTTTTTTTTTTTCTTAGCTGCGGCAGGTTCTAACATGGTAAGCCAGCATGTCAGGACACCTGTCCTTTTTTTCTCAAACCACGACTCTTAACACTGTCAGACTGTCAGGGCAGTCTTTGGAATCACCGAAGCATTTGGAGCACTCCTGCCATCTCCTGCCCCTCCGCCCGGTGACACAACAGCTTAGGCTTAGGGGTCCCTTTAGCAGGTTCTTGGTGTTTTTTTTCCACACAAGTTCTTTAACACAGATACTAAAACAAAATAAACACACAAAAACAAACAAACATGTTTAAAATGAAAGGAGCCTTTCTTTCCAAGACATCTTCGACAGAGATCGCCGGAGATCGAAGCCGTCGCCGAGGCGTCTCCGGCGGCTTCGGCGGCTACACGCAGTCGAACGTGGCATCGCGGCGCGTGGTGCCTACGGAGGATTTCAGCTTTTGACGTGATGATAATCTGATGACACCCTCAACTACTAGGGTCTGGAATGGGTGACCCTGGAATGGATGCAAGGGGTCTACAATGCAGCCGCCCAGGGCCCGAAGAAGTACATGAGGGTATACTTGATGCGCATATTGGGGAAGAGAGGCGACGTCGGCGTGGGATGGATGTAGCATGGTGTTGCCAAGAGACAGTGTAGGAGTATAGCTACTGGGTACCCATGGGTACCCGGTTTGGCCACTCAGGACTGATTTAGATCGTGACTGAAATGATATGGGAATGGTGGTACCATGTGGTACCTGATCCTCCAGTCACCGGGAAGCTCAGGCCCTGTGACCCCGGGCCCCACTCCCGCTCCCGCACCCGCCTCCCAGGAGCAGCGGAAGGGCCGCCAGTTCATGAAAGTGGTCTACGTGGTTTTGGAGTCACAGTATCAATCGGCAGCGTCCTGAGAGTGCGGCTACTAGGTCAGCGTGTGAGAGAGCACCCTTGTGGAGCGAACGGTGTGAATCTGCCAGATGCACATGGAACGTAAGAATGAACATAACGCCCATCATGTGCATCCCATCATGTCCCATAAAGTGGGTGTGATGGCTGCTGTTTTATCTGCGACATCAATTGTGTTCCAACCCCACAAAGTGGGTCTTGTGTTTCGCCTTTCTCATGAACAGACATTGATGACATTGATCACTACTTGATGCTTTGCAAAGGTTCTTAAGTTTTGCAGCACTCGGAACGTCGAACGTCTAGTCTTTGTATTTACCCCTCACTAAAATGTCATTATCAGTCATTCACTCTTGTGACTTGTGCATTCATTAATTATTCTTCTATCTTGGGAAGAGATGACCTGTAGACTTGTGGCTTCAGGCTGCTTGAGGTGTGAGTGTCGTTCTTATGTATTTTATATATAACTATAACTCTACCTGGAACTCACATGGTTCCGTGTATGGCATGGCCCCGAGTTCGGAGGACCATTTATCCGAAGACCGAGGGTGAACTCCACAGCCATGTTAGTTCCAGGGAGTGTAATGCAGACTCTTTTAGTTTTATTTCTCCCTAAACCCCATTTGAAGAGGTGTTGCAATCCATGGACATGGAGGTGTGTTATGAATCAATGAGTCTTTCTCCAGCACCACCCAGTTCAGGCGGTGTATAGACTCCAGAAAGACCCCCTCAATTCCCATCCCCTTTTCCAATGGTATTTTTCTTCCCATCACCATCTGAACTGGGTGTTTTCTGCTGGTAAGACACCCTTCAGATACCCCCCTGGCGGGCCCAAGAGCTCGGTGTGGCAGATCGAGTGAAACGGGGGGCGGAATCGCATTACAAACATGTCCAGTTTGACTGAATGGAATACTGGATCATTTGAGGAGAATGATATATACTCTCTACAGTGAAACATAGTGAGACATAGTGAAACTGTGATATTGGAATATCTGGAATAATGTTGGCGCCTGATTAGTAAATAGGCCCCCCCCCCCTCAAACAAATGGGAGGACCTCTATAATAAATTAGCACTAAAACAAATCTGGATTCCTGGTGAGGGATCTTTTGTAATTGATTGTAGTATTCATTTTCCTTTCATAGATTGTATTCAGCTTCCTTTCTCAGGTGCTTTGTAATTGTTCTCAGCAATCCTTTTGCTTTGCAGCCTCAGACCTTCAGCTCAAGAGAAGCCCCAAGCTTTCAGCTTCTTCCTCAGCTTCCATGGCGTCCTAAGTAAAGGAAGATTCCATGAGCATTTTTTCCAGTGGAAAAAAGCTTTTCACAATAGAGGTCCCAAAAACACATTTATTATTGAGGATCAGGTGCCTTCCTGGTCTACTACCTTGAAATTTTGTTTAGGAGCAATGTTTTATAAAGGGTTTAATTGGGGAACTGGTGG